TCCAGGCCCAGAGCTCTATCCTCTGCACCACCTAGCTGCCCCTAAAATAACTTTTTGATAGTTTGATTGGTATGTCACTGAATAAATAGATTAATTTAGGTGAAATTGTCATTTCTATTATATTGGTTTGGCCTCCCCATGAGCAATTAACATTTTTCCAATTGTTTAGATCTGACTTTATTTGTGTGAAAAGTGTTGTATAGTTGTGTTCATATCATAAGCCCAACTGCATTAAACAGATAAATAGATCCCCCCAATAGGAATGGGTTACCTAGGGGGTAATAGGCTCCCTCTCTTTGAATTCATCAAGCCAAGGCTGGATATTTACCTGTCAAGGAAATTATAGGGGGAATTCTCATAGGATAGAGATCTCAGTACTCAGATCCCTGAGGTCCTTTTGGGTTGAAATTCTAAAATTCTGTGGCTACTAATTCCACCAGTCAACTTCCCCTTGGCATGCATTCAGCGTCTACACCGAGCCGTGTTTCAGCAAATATTCCTTGGTGAGCACTGGGGAGCATGTTGTATCATGCAAATTGGAATTGTTCCAGTTGCTGAGTTAGGATTCAAGGGCTAATCTTTCTGTGAGCCTTGAGTTCAGGGCAAATGATAAGAAACTTGATGAGAAGAGAGCTTCGTGGACCCCCAGGCTTAATCGCACATCATTCTTGATGCTACAGGAATCGTTTCTCATCTTTTTCTAGCTTCCTTCCTAAGCTGTAGGAAACAACGAGGAGGAAGGCATGGAGAAAGGTGGGAAAGCACAGCGTACATGCAAACAAAAAAGGGCAGGTAGTCCAGTTTGGTTCCAGCTCAGAACACATGGAAGAGAGTACCTCGGGAAGGTTGGGTTGTTCCAAATTGGGTAGAGCCTTGAACGCCAGGCATGGAAGCTTGATATTTACTCTGAAGACCAAGAAGGGAGTTAGTGGTATGCAGAGGTGGTATGCCATCAGATCTGATCTCTAGATTTCAAAAGGATTTCTCAAGTGTACATTACCATCAGATAGTTTTGCCTTATACCCTGTTTACCTCATTAAGAGAATTCATTAAAGAGTGAAAAGACATTTTGAGACCAAAGTTCTCATTAAAACAGTAGGACACCTTCCAGATACAACCAAAGCAGACGAAAGATTCTAAATTAATTTATTTTTCCTGAAGCTGACTTTAAAACGAGGACCATCATTCTTATTTGCTTTTATCAGACAGTGCTGACAAGTGGTTGGGGCCCACAGTCATAATCTGTGGTAATGAGGATTATCTCGGTGGTTATTTAGTGATTTTAGTAAGCACCATCCTAACTCTTCAGGCACTCAGGTGAATAAATGAGTGGATTTTTTTTTTTAAAGCATTCATTAATCACTTACTATGTGAGAAGCACTGTGCTAGTCACTGGCGATACAAATAGAAAAGCAAGGTAATATCTGTTCTCAAGGGGCTTACATTCTAATGGGGGAGATGATAGTGATGAGGGTGGTGATGGTAACAACAAGAATCATTTGTGCAGCACTGTAAGGTTTGCAAAGTGTTTTATAAATATTGTCTCATTTGATCCTTGGAACCACCCTGGAAGATGGGTGGTATTATTACCCCCATTTTACAGATGAGGAAACTGAAGCAGACAGTAGTCAAATGACTTGCTCAGGGTCACCCAGCTCCTAAGTGTCTGAGGTCATATTTGAACTTGTCTTTCTGAATCTAGGTTTGTTTTTATGGCAAATAGATGAAAAAGCTCCATAGTTCTGCGGGTACAGGGACAAAGCAGATGGGAACACATCTTCTTTAGTGTAATTTCAACTGATAATCATATTTCTGTTTCTTAATATTGTCAATTGAGTAGGGAGGAAAATTAGCCCTTGATTCCTGAATATGGCTTTGAATGATCTGGGCTTTATAGACCTGGAACGGTTCTGGGGGTGGGCATTAGGGGTAGCCAGAAGCATGGGAACAATATTTCTCTCATTCTTTTTCTCCTGATCCTATTGTCTTGGCCCAGTACACCTTTTGCCCGAAAAACAGGAAAGACATTGAGGCAGCCAACCAGCGGTGGTTACTGGCTATAGAACTGTAGCTTTCTCCTCCAGATCAAGTACTGATCTAGGCTGGCTCAGAACATAGACAGAGTATCAGAACTGGAAGGGACCATCAGACACAGAACATACAATGTTCAAGCTGGAGGGGAACATAGAACGTGCTAGAAGGAAACTTGGAACATGGTACCTAGAATATCAGATCTTTAAACATAATTCACAGAACGGTAGAGTTAGAAGGAAATCTAGAACCCAGGCCACAGTGCTGTGTTTTTAAAAACACTTTTTGGTATGCATTTAAGTTCAAAATGGAAAAAAAAAATTAAAAGATCACAGGATGTGGAGTTTCAGAGCTGGAAGAGACTTTGGGGAGGCCATCTAGTCCAAGCCTTCATTTTGCAGATGGGGAAACTAAGCCCCAGAGAAGGTGATTGACTTACCTTGTCTTAGTTAGTGAGTGGGGGGAGAATTTCAGCCTCAGCTTGGAGTGGGGCTGGAAAAAGGGTGGCAGATAATGGATAGGAGAGCTTAGTACATTTGTTCAAAGAAGGTGAAAATCTGTGTTTTTGAGCCCAAGTGAGGGGCGCTCATCACTGTGGGTGTTTCATGATTCCCATGCTTAATTTAAATCACTTCACCCTTCTCTGTCTGAGGTTACTCATCTGTAAATTGGGGATAATATGCTACCTGAGGAATAATGAGGTTATTTAATAATTAAGGTTCTTGAAGTCTTCAGAGATTGCAATACAAGATCAGATATAGCAGTATAATTTTCTGCTGCTCATTGAGGCTACAGATTAATTTCTGCAAAACTCCTAAGAAGCCTGGCGTGCATTTCCGTCTCATACGCTAATTAGAGACCTCTTTATCTCGTAAGATGCCAGCTAGGCTTTATTTAGTCTTTCGGTCAGCTATCACATGGGCCATTTGGACATAGCAGAATGCTCATCCTGGCAAAGCTCAGATTAGTGCTGATGCCTTCCATTTTCTTGTACAATTATCCCTTCCAAATCTCCATGATCTGGAAAATCTGCATAACATTTTTTGTCTTTCCCTTTGTATCAGAGAGGAAGCATGAAGTTTTTCTTTTTCTTTTATGGGGTGTTGATATTATATGATACTATACATATGTGTTATGCATTTCTGAGTTTCTAAACTTTTTCTGTGGCATCTGCTGGCCTTTGTGTATTGTCTGTGGCTTCCACAAAACTCCCCCCAAATTCCCATTTAATTTCTTATGCCGACCTGTGAGATATTGAAACTGCAATGGGGAAAGTCACAATGTGGAAGGGATTAGCATGCTTGACAGTTGACCGAAGTGGTTTCGTGCGCAGGATCTCACTTGGCTCTCCCAACAACCTTGTGAGACAAGTCTGGTAGGTCTTATTAGCCTCATTTCACAGATGAAGGTAAAGCTCCAAAGGCATGAGTGACTTGTCAAGGTCTCACTTTTGGAGTCAGAGCCAGGACTGAAGAATCCAAGAAATTTAAAGTTGGAGTGTCCATCCAATTCCATCCCCATGTGAATAGGAATCTACTCTACATCATACTTGACAAATGGGCATCCTTTCTTCCTTCCCTTCCTCCTTCCTCTTTCCCTTCCTTTACCATCCCTTCCTTTTGCTTTCCTCCCTCTCTCTTTTCTCTCTTCTTTCTTTTCTTCTTTTCTCCCCTTTCTCCTTCCCTCTCTCTCTACTTTCAGAGGCAGCCTTTCCCACTTTTATGTAGAAAATTCTTCCTTGTGTTCTGTATAAATTCACCTCTTTGCCCCGTTGCTCCCCACGTCTGGGGCCAAGCAGAGCAAGTCTAACATATTTTTGATATGACATATATTCAAACCCGTGAAGACAGCTGTCATGCCCCACCTCACTCAAGTCTCTTCTCCAGCCTAAAAGTCTGCTTTCTTTCAATAGGTCCTCAGAGGGCATGATTTTGAGAACCTTTATCGGCAAAGTCAAACAAAGGTCTTGTGAAGGGCAGCCCAGGGCTGCTTCTACTCCACAAACCAACCAGGTGTTGGGGATTACTCCCTCACAGGGTTGAAGAATAAGATTGCTTTGCCTTAGGCTTCCCCCAAATCGAACTCCATGTGATGGTGGTGCCTTTTGGGAGATGCTTGTGCATCTGTAGAAAGAGAACCCAGCCAAGAATGTTCAAGCCACGGTTGAGTCCCACCCAGTATTGCTGTGGGACACTGGGCAAAGCATTGTACCTTGCCAAACCCCTGTCTTCTCATCTTTGAAATGGGCATGATAATATTGGCCATTCTCACTTGACACTCCATCTCTTGTCTTTTTGCTTGGTCCCACGCATTGAAAATGCTATCACCCCAACCCATGTGCCAACTCACCTCTGCCTTAGCACCCCTTCTTTCTTCCAAAACTCAGATCACGCTTTCACATGAAACCTTAGCTGATTCCCACCCAGCAAAACTGCCTTGTATTCGTTTTATATATATTCTGCATAAACTTTTGTGTGTACGTATTATTTCTGTTATTAGAATGTAAGCTTCTTGAGGGCAGGGACCGTTTCACTTTTGTCTTTGTATCTTGCTAGTAGGTAGCACAGTACCTGGCACATAGTGGGCACTTATTATATTAGTAGGCACTTATCCCTGCTAATTATTGAAGTGTTTCGTAAACTTTTAAGCATTATAGAAATGTATTACATTTCTATATCAAGTATAAATTTCTATCTAAATTATAATTCAATAATGTCATATTATATACATTATATAATATATAATACCAATGATATATAATGCATCATTATTATATTAATGTATGATTATAATATAATGATCATTTAATATATAATACATTATGTTATTATATATTATAAATTAATTATATAAATTATAATTTTTAAGACTAACTTACTTCTAATAGTCTGAGATTCTGTGGCTTATTGTTCTTTAAGTGGGATTAACCAATAAACTGACTTATTTTTCTTTCCCCTTTCAACCAACAGAACTGAACATTACCTGCAGATATGCAGGGGTTTATCACGTTGAGAAAAATGGTCGATACAGTATTTCTCGAACCGAGGCTGCTGACCTTTGTAAGGCTTTTAATAGCACCCTCCCTACCCTGGCACAGATGGAACAAGCATTGAGTATCGGGTTCGAGACTTGCAGGTAATGATAATCATCATTGTCATCATCATCATCAACCTCATGTATTATTATGCCCATTTTATAGATCAGAAAACTGAGCCTCAAAGAAGTGAGGTTGGTTGTCTTACCCAGGGCTGCATATGGCTAGTAAATGGTGGAGGCAGGGCTTTTACCCAGGTCTTCTGAGTTTCAGATCTCCTTCCATGCAAAGGGGGCAGGTTCCCTGAGGGAAAAGGGGTTAGTCATCAGAGGCTGGCTGTATAGTGGGGCTGTGGGGAAGTTGGGAGGGTCAGAATGACAGCCGAATGGGCAGTCTCTTGAAGACTCTGATCCACCTATTAATCTGTCAAAGTAAATTTTAAGCTAGTATGACAACTGGAATTTAGTTGGCTTAGATTTCTGTGAATCATAGAGAGGGCAGCCTTGAAGAGGCCACCCCGGTCATCTGCTTGTTTAATGCTGAAACACTTCCCTGGCTTTCTCCTGCCTTTGAAGAGGATCCTGATAGAATTGGCTGAGCCACAAGAGAAGAAATAAACAGTAGTGTTTTGAGATCAATATGTGGTTTATACTCTAGGACTTGACATGTCAGGAACCCTTTTTTTTTCTTGTTTTGTCATTTTCTCTTTCTTGTTCTTCCTTTTTTTCTTTCATGTATTTTTTTTTTTTGGCTTAGAAGTATGATTTAATTGATATTTGGAACTTCCAGCTAGGTGGTACAGTGGGTGGAGAGCTGGACATAGAGTCTGGAAGGCTCTTCTTCCTGAATTCAAATCCAGCCTCAGATACTTACTAGCTGTGTGACCCTGGGCAAGTCCCTTCACCCTGTTTGCCTCAGTTTCCTCATCTGTAAAATGAGCTGGAGAAGGAAATGACAAACCATTCTAGTATCTTTGCCAAGAAAACCCCAAATGTGGGAAGAGTCAGACACAATTGAAAGGATAGAACAACAGGAAGAACACCCAGAGTGGAAATTCCCTCTGATTCTGATGGGCAACTCTTCTACAGAGTTGAAGTCTTAGGTGATTGCCTGGGGCGATGAGTGGTTAGGATTTACTAATGGTCGTACAGTTGGTAAGCGTCAGAGAAGGGAACTGACCTCAGCTTTTCCTGACTCCAAAGCTGGATCTCTAACACTGTGTCCAGCCACCTCTTTCCTCCTTATCTTTGCCCACACTGCTGCCCCCTGTCTCTGGAATGATTTTCCTCATTTTTGCCTCAGTTTCCCTGGTTTTGTTCAAAGCATACCCGAGCCCAGGAACCACATCCTAAATGAAATCTTTCCTGCTTGCCCGAGGATTTAGAGCTCTTCCAATCCCAAAATGACATTGTTTTTGCCTTGTTTGTACTTTGAATGTATTTACCTGTGTGCATGTTTTATCTCTCCCCACCCCCAACTGCCTCACATAAACTCATTAAGGGAAGTGATGGTAATTTTTGAGTCAGTATTCCCTGTGATAGTATTATGCTTGACAAATAGTAAGCATTTAATAAATGTTTATTGAATTGGATTCCTCCCTCCCACCTTTCCTCTTTGCTTCCTTTCTTTCTTCTTTCTCTCCCTCCCTTCCTCCATCCCTCCCTCTTTCCCTTTTTCCTTCCTTCCTCAATCCCTCCCTCCCTCTCTTCCTTCCTTCCTCTATCCCTCCCTCCTTCTCTTCCTTCCTTCCTTCCCTTGCCCTCTCTCTTCCTTCCTTTCTTTTCTTCTTTCTTCATCTGTTACAATCTGGGAAGGAAAAGCAAAACACCTTTTAAAAGGTGTTTTCCAAGATACTAAAAAATAAAAACAAAACTCTTCTTAGACATTAAAAAACAGACAAAAATAACTTGGTTCCAGAGTACCAAGAAGGGCCCCCAAAGTTCTCTCTTTTCCCCTGTCTCCTCCCATATACCTTTCCCCTGCCCACCCCAAAAGCCTATCTTGTGATTCTTCGCATCAACAAAACAGCCTCATCTGTATCTCTTTTTGGTCCTATGGACAGCAGTGTCCGTTAGTAGTTAGGGACCATGCTGACCACAAATGGAAAGTTCTTCATTTTCAGTTGAAGATTTCTATGTAATCTCCTCGTTGCCTGCTGTGCAGCTTCTGGCGTTGGCCCACAGCTTTCCCTTCACACACACACACACACACACACACACACACACACACACACACACACACACACACACACACACACCTCTCTGTGTCTCTCTGTCTCTGTCTCTGTCTCTGTCTCTCTCCAGAGATCACTATGTAAACTTCATAAAGTCTCCATGACAGGTGCCTCCAACACCTGGTTACCAGGTGACCACCTTGATTAGAGTCTGAGATCTTAGCTACCTGAGTCACTTTCCTTCTCTGAGACTAACTTTCTTTACTGGTAAGAGGATGAGGTTGGATTAGATCCCCTCAAGTTTAGAGTCAGAGGACCTTTATTGGAATTCTGGCCCAGCCACTTGCCACTTATAGGACACTGTAGATTGAGAGGACTGGGCTGGACAGTTTCCAAAGTCCCTTTGACCTTTAAACACTTATGATTTCATCTGGATCCAAGACACGGAACCCTCACCTATAGAATGAACTCTGGTTGCTTTCCAGTGGGAAGGACGAGCAATTAGCAAACCTGCGCAGGGGAATCTTATGGGCTTTAAACAGGGCCACCAGTGAGTGCTAGAAATCATGTCTGTTGAGGGACTTTCAAGTCCATAAGGAAGTTCTTATTGAAATAACAATGAGAGCAATAATATCTCCCAGTTACATAGCATTTCCCAGAAAAAGTAACAAGCATGTTATCTCACATGTGGCAGAAAAAGAGCAAAGATTCTGACGTCAGCAGATCTACATTCAGAACCCAGCTGGGCCGTTTAGTGTCTGTGTGACCTTGGCGGCCTCAGTTTCCTCATCTGTAAAATGGAGGTTGGCCTAGTCGGCCGTAGATCTGTGATCTTTCCATTTTCACAATAACATTATGAAGTAAATAAGGCAAATTTATTGCCTTATTATTATTTCTATTATGTCATTTCCATTTTGCAGCTGAGGAAAATGAGGCTAAGATACATTGAGACTGATCAAAGTTGGGATTCAGATCTAGGCCCATTGACTCCCAATGCAGTGCTGCAAGGGAAATTCGGGGTTCACACAAAGCAAGATGGCCCCCAAGTAGCAACCCATTGTTCATTTCACCCACAATCGAGAGTTTGAGTTACAAAATCTATTTCCTTAGTTTCTGAATCAGTTAGCGGCCACATGACAGATACCAGGGATAGACCTGGAATCCCAACCTTCTCTTGCCTGCCCCTCCCTGATAAATAGCAATTTTCAGGTATATAGACCTTATTACCACTTAATGTTCCCCACCCCACCAAGCTGAGGAGACTTCAGGAAAACCAGTTGGTCCATTCAAATGAGGAATTAGTCATAAGCTCTCTAGTTGCAAAAGACTGTTAATTAGTGCTGTGTGCTAAGACACTTGAAAACCTGTATAAATGCCAGTAGGTTGGGGGGGGCGGTACAGTACCTGAGGCAGTTTGGCTTTTTGGCATGAAGTTGCTGAAATATGAGAGACATGATTTTAGCCAGGGTAGCATTTTAGAAATACTGCTGATTATGAAGCTTTTTTTTTCTTTCCTTAGCTCAATTCAATTCAATTGGATTCAGTCAACAACCATTTATCAAGTATTTACTATATGTGCTAGAAAAAGCAGCAACAAAGACCTGCCCTTAAGAAGCTTACATTCTAATTCCATTCTGTGCAATAGACACTTATCAATCTCTTTCATGCAAGAGAGGCAGTGTGTCCTCTGAAAAAAGCACTGGACTCAGAGGTGGGAAAACCTGATTTTAAGTCACATCTCGATCAAAGAGTGAGTGTGTGATCTTGGGTAACTCACTTGATGCCTCAGGAAACTCTCTAAGACCATCCATTAAAGAATGATTTAGTATATGTATGGCATTTATTTTGTGTATTCTTTTTCTTTTCTTTTCTTTTCTTTTCTTTTTCTTTTTTTTGGATGAGGGGTCTAGGCAATGGGGTTAAGTGACTTGCCCAGGGTCACACAGCTATGTGTCTGAGGTTGGATTTGAACTCAGGTCTTCTTGAATCTAGGGCTGGTGCTCTATCCACTGTGCCACCTAGCTGCCCCTATTTTGTCTATTCTTATGTGTATGTAGTGACTTCTCATATAGAATGTAAGCTCCTTGAAGGCAGGGATGGGGTAATTTTTTTTCCCCCTGTGTATCTCTAGTGTCCAGGCTGCACCTGGCATCTAGAAGGTGCTTAACAAATACTTGTTAATTAATTAATTGATTGATTGGAGCAGTTTCTTTACAGGAAGTTCCCTCTACCTTTGAAGTCACAGGTACAGACCTTTAATCCCCGTCTCCACCTTCACCCCACAGATTGGAAGGCACTGGGCTAACTGGCAGAGATAGAGAGTCAAAAAGGAAACAGAGCCCACTCTCAAAGAGGTTTCATTAGACTAGGGCAGCATTTCCTTTTTATCAGACCACATCTCATTTGTTGTTTTGTGGTCATCAAGTCTTAGGCCAGAGAGCTGGAAGGGGTCTTGGAGACCATTTAATTCAACTGTCTTATTTTACAGATGGGGAAACTGAGTCCCAAAGAAGACAAGTAACTTGCCTCTGCTCAACACAGATAGTGGCAGATACAGGATTAAACAGAGAAGTGTTTTTGATTCCGTTTCCACTCCCCTTCCCTTACTAACTTTGGACATATTCAGCTTAGGAATAGAAGGAAAAGATACTCCCCTGCTCCCCTCTCCACTTTCACTGTCCTACAAGTTTTCTTCTTAGGAGGCACTGAAAAAAATGTTTTGTTCTTCCCTTCCCTTCCCTTCCCTTCCCTTCTGCCTTCCCTTCCCTTCCTTTCCCTTCCCTCCCATCTTCCCTTCCCTTCTGCCTTTCCTTCCTTCTCTCTCTTCTGCCACCTTCTTCCTTCTCCCTTCCCTTCCCTTCCATTTCCTTTTTTTTTCAGTAGTCAATTAGTCAAAAAATATTTATGAAGTGCCACAATGTGTCATACACTGTGCTGAGCACTAGGAATACAAAAAGAAAATAGTCTCTGTCCTCAAGGAGCTTACACTCTACAGGGTTTGCGGTGCAGAAGATCTTCTTGTCTCTGAACATGTAGCTCTTCATTTCTGTAGTTGTTTATTTTTATTTAACCAGCACTCCAATTTTCCAGTAGATCTATGGCCTCTTTAGTGTAGACATTGCCTTTAGCAGGGCAAATTACACCCCATGTGTGCCTGCCTGTCGTAAGTGACCGGCCCATGTCCTTACATAAATTTGCCACCGGGTTTCCACCTAATGTACTGGGTGCTTTCCTTATATACTGTCAATATTGCATACATACCACGGAGTACATGATCTACCCTCTGTTATCCCTTCTTCTCTCCACATGAGTGGCCTATCCTTTTTCTAGTCATACATTTACTTGATTGTCTCCTTTATTCTATTTCTCCCATGTAATTCCTTATTTAGAATGTATTATAACATGCTCACACTCAGCTTGATGACCTCTGAAACATTTTAGGGCTAATTTAAATAAAGGAATATAGAATAAGTAAAGAATTGGGTCCAGCAAAAATTATTGAGAATATTCAAACCGTTGGGCTGGGAAAGGTACAAAGAAAAATTTAAAATCGTCCCAGACCTCATATAACTTATGGATCTTGAGTTATTCCATGACTCACCATGATAATCCTAGCAGGTTGATAACTCCCTTTTCTTCCACAGGTATGGATTCATAGATGGACATGTTGTAATCCCACGAAAGACGCCCAGGTTTCTCTGTGCAGCAAATAACACTGGGGTATATATCCTTCCCTCAAATATGTCTCAATATGACACATACTGCTTCAATGCCTCAGGTAGGTTGGCATTTATTTCCATTGCATTGTTTGTCATTTGAATGAAATAAATTGATACCATAGCTTGGAGAAGCTTTACCTTGGTGCAAAGTAGGGATGAAGAAAGCACCTGATAATGGGTTAGAGGTGAGAGGTCTAGCCAAATCATTAATTGAATTAGAGTGGTGTAAGTCAGTAGTCATTAAAAAACTACCATATACATGGCACTATATGGAACATATAGTAGTTATACAAAATTCAATAATTTAATTCAGTAAACCTTTATTAAGCACCTACTATGTACTAGGGTGCTGGTGATATGACATCAAAAATCAAAAGCCCCTGACCTCTAGCTTACATTCTATTGGGGGGGGGATAGAGATAAGTACAATATAAAATATATGACATATGGAGATAAGTACATATAAAATATATGACATGTTATGTATAATATTTTATAACAAATATTATATATACTTCATATTTATTACTTGTATTACATGCAACCTTCATTATATATCATATTGCATAATATATTATATGTGGTACTTATATATTATATAACCTAATATAGGTAATATATAATATATTATGTATAATGTTTGTTAGATATTATGTTAATATTTGGTATATGTTATATAACATATACTATATTACATATACTATATACATTTTAACCAGGACCCTGGCACTCTTTGTATGCATATAAACATATACGTTGTAATTTATATTATACATAAATTGTATATATGTTATATGTATATATGTATATATGTGTATATGTGTGTATATTTTTATATATTTCAAAAAGGAGTGAGCACAAGTATCTGGAGGGAAGGGCTAGGCAAATGAACAGATCAGGAAAGGGCTTGGTAAGTGTCATCTGTGCTGTATTTTTTGAAGGAAGGTAGGAGTTTACTATTCAGGTGGCTGGTTTGGTGTGGTAGAGATAGCCAGAGAGAGAGAGCTCAGTCTTTACTGTCTGCTTTCTCAAGGTCTCTGTGAAGGGTCACTGAATAAAGCAGCAGCCTCTCTTTGCCCTAATTCTCTCCAGTCCAGCAATGCTCATTAAGTAGAAAGCCTGGCTAATGAGGTTCCATTATTGGAGAAGGGAGGGCAAACCTAATTGAATGTCTTTTGGGGTTATCATCCTCACTGGCATGCACGCTGCTTTGGACCCAAGGAATGCTAAAAACACATCAAACATTCTTTAGAATAGAAATTGGAACACCAAGTATCAGTCTCTCAGCTTGGGGAAATGGTCTGCATTTGGTCTTCCCTTGGTTTTAATGTTCTTGATGCCATATCAGTATATAATCAGCCCTGAAGGAAGTTGAGAGTAGCTCCCAGTCCAAGTCTGAACTGAGCTGAAATCCAGTTGGGAATTAGAGGCAATGGGCATGGGGGCTGCTTTCACCAAGCCCCACTAGTGAATGAGAAGGCAAGTTTGAAGGCTAAATTTATGACATGGTCAGAGCCAGGGTCCTGGTTTGAATGTATCATTGGTCAGAACTAATACAGCATTTATATTGTACTTTTATCAAATACATATTGAGCAGAGAAGGAAACAGAGACATATTAGGGTGAATGAGTCAATGAAAGTCGTGCAGCTAGCAAGTATCAGAGTCTGGCTATGAGCCTGGGTCTTCTCTGTATAAGAGCCTCCTAGTCATTTCACCAGCCTACCTTTGCAGGGAAGGGAAGGAAGGGAATGAGCATTTATATAGAACCTACCATGTACCAGGTACTGTGAGTTTTCCAAATATTATCTCATTTAATACTTATAACAACCCTATGAAGCAGGTATTGTGATTGTCCTTATTTTACAGTTGAAGAAACTAAGGGAAATGGAGGTTAAGTGACTTGAGGTCACATAGCTAGTATGTGTCTGAGGCTAGATTTGAACTCAGGTCTTCCTGACTCCAGGCCCAATGTTGTATCCATGACACTATAGAGCTGCCTAGATGAGAGTCTCATCTGTTTCTAAATCTGTGATCCTATGATTTTATCTTTGTTATTCTCCAATTTAAATATTTTTATAGCAGTCAAGGTAATGCCTGGATGTCTTTTTTGGGGGGGGGGCAGGGCTGGACCTATAATTTCATAAGATCATTTTTGTTACTGTTGTCCAGTCATTTTAGTCAAGTCCAACTCTTTATGACCCCATATGCAGTTTTCTTGACAAAGATATTGGAATGGGTTTGCCATTTCCTTCTCCAGCTCATTTTACAGATGAGGAAACTGAGGCAAGGAGGATTTAATGACTTTCCCAGGGTCACACAGCTAATATGTGTCTAAGGCCAGATTTGAACTCAGGAAGGTAAGTTCCTGACTCCAGAACCAGCACTCTATCCACTGTGCCCCCTAGGAGCCCTCATAGGATCATAGGACCACAAATTTAAAAATTGGAAGGCATTTCAGAGGCTTACAGGGAGCTCCTAGGGAAAAACAAATTCTCTACTGCAATATAAAGGATCAGCTGTTCTGCAATTTACAATCTCAGTGAGGTTGTCACCTTCCGTGCATGGGACCATTGGCTTTTTTGTTTGTTTTTAGTTAAATGATCAACTTTATGTTAGATGAAAGGCCTCTCCTCTTAAGAAGTCCTTGTGTGGCAGCATGGTGATTGCCATCATTTACTGTATTTGCTAAGGTAATGACTGCCCATTTCTCTCCTCCAAGTGGACAAAAACCAAATCTATAAAAGTCATCTTACATGATCAATGATATTAACAATAGCTGCCATTTACAGACAGCACTTTCGGGTTTACAAGGTATTTTCCCAATGGCAGCCTTGAAGGAGGAGGACCAAATGGGATTCTTCCCATCTTAAAGATGAGAAACTCTTCTTCTTAACAACTTCTTTTGTATGAAGTTCCAGACTGTGGCATTTCCTTTGAGCTGATGCAAATCAATCAGCCAGACAATGAACAAGCATTTATGAATTGCCTTCCATGAGCCAGGCGCTAAGGATGCAATGACAAAAATGAAGATCTCTGATTTTAAGTATCTTAAATTCTAAAGGATCTTGTGGAACATGCAGAATAGGTTATTGGATATGTGTATTTATAAATAGAAATCATGTATTAAGTGCCCACTATATGCAAAACACTGTGTTAGGTTCTGGGGATACAAAGATAACAATTAAACAGTCCTTGCCCTCCCAGAACTTATATTCTGTCAAGGGAGATTTCTGAAATATGTATAAAACAAATATCATAAATTTTTGAGGGGAAGGTATAAGAATGTCAATTAACCAGTTCGCTAACAAGTGTTTGTTAAGTGTCTACTATATGCTAAGGATTGTGGTAAGGCCTGGGGATAGAAAGGCAAAATTGAAACAATCCCTGCCCTCAAGGGGCTTACATTCTAATAGCTCATGGCAAATGAATTAAGTAGAAGGTTAGTCATCTCAAGCCTTCCCTGGAAAATGAGAAGGAAAACTCCAGAAGAACAGGGGGAAAGAGAAGTGAGCTTTAAAATGTTAGTCTTTCCAACTATGATGCTGAGGATTGATGATTAAGAATGCTACTTACCTCTTGATGGAGAAGTGATGGACTCAAGATGCAGAAAGAGATTTTGGGGGACATTTTTGGACATGGACTATGTAGGGTTTTTTTTTTAATTTTGCTTGACTATGCTAATTGTTAAAAGGATTCTGTTTGTCTTAACAATCAGAGAGGATAATGTGAGAGGGGAAAAGGGAATAGGAATAAGAATCTCACCCTCCCTCCCCAAAAGAGAAGAGAACAGAAGCAAGGTCAGGAGAAACTGTAGACAAACAGGAAAGCTTTGAAAATTACCTAGTGAATTTACTGTATACTTATAAAAAGAAAAGCACTATAAAATAAAAATCCAAGGTTTCAGATACAATCCTCTCATGTTCTACAATGTATACAGAGAGACTTGTTTTATTTGGAATTTGTGAGGTTCAGAGTACAAAAACACATAAAAGGAAAATGAACAAAAATAATTAGTCTTTCATGTCTAACCCGTGGAGCTAACCCATGCTGTAAAGTCCTAGGTTTTGTTGACAGGACACCTAGAAATGGTCAAGATATCAGTTAAACACAAAGATTTGTTGACTTGTGGTACTGGAAGGAACCACAATTAGGCATGAGGTAATCAATCAACAACTAGATAAAGCCAGGAGAAAAAATCCATCTGGATCTAATCTCCATAACAGCACCAAAGAAGATAATGACTCACCACATTTTCATAGAGAAATGCAAGCTCTCGTCAAGCTTTTAGATGGCTGTTAAGAATTCTTAGCTGATGTGATCTTCGGTCTTGGATTTTCCCATTTCATTTGAGGAAAGGGATATGAGATGGTGGAAATTGAGTTGGAATCTCTGACTCTATTTGAATTGCTGCTGCAGTTTCAATTTAACCTATAAATCATGCTCATTTTCATCATATTTCTATCCCTGTGATAGGATTTAGGCAAAATATTCTGTTTCGTAAGATGTTTGATGCTGTGTGCACGTGCTTGTGGTATAGTGTGTTTTTCTGTGACCACTCGGGAGTTAGAGAGTCCTGGGAAATGGATGATGACAATAGACTTCAAGATCTATGGCAGAAGTACAACACCAAGCACCTTCCTCTCTTGGGAAGTGTCCAGAGGAGATTTCCCTGGCAGGGTTGGATGCCACCTAGTTCTGCTCTTTACTCCCTATGTGACCTTGAGAAAGTCTCTTCCCCTCTCTTAGCCTCACTTTAAAAAAAAATCTGTATAATAGGGTTGGCTAACTGGATGATTTCCAAGATCTCTTCCATTTCTAAGATCCCAACTGAGGTGGAAGGGGAAGGGTAGATGGGTTGGAAAGGCCAGATTCAAATGGTATTGGGAAGAGCCGGGAGATCATCAAATTCCAATTAAAAAAAGAGTAAGGCATTGTCTTAGTTAATTTTTAAAAATAAGACTAGCTCTTGACTCATTTCAATGAAATTGACCATTTGCATTGTTCTCCTTCCTCACAGCCCCACTGGACAAAGAAGACTGCTCATCTGTCACAGACATACCAAGTATATTTGAAGGACAAATCACCATAGGTACCTTTCCCTTCTGACTTTTATCATCTGTTCTTATCACAAGTGTGGGGTGTGGGGTGGGGAGTGGGGATCAAAAGTGCTGCATGTTTTCAGTACTGTGTCAAAAGAACAGGGCCAGTTCAGAGGCAACAGTCCACTGTGCTCATGCAATTTTTTTTTTGTTGCTCTCTACATGGATTTTGGACTGACCTGGTTCATCTTAATTGGGGAAGGATTCTATTAGAATCCCTACCAGGACTTTGGGTGGGGGTTGGAGGAATTCTGATATTTGATCTCTGGAACCTGAACCCAGGTCTTCCTGAGTCTGAGGTTGGCTGTCTCTAAGCAATTACTTCAAGTTGCCATGTATGTGTATATGTGTAAATATATGTATCTGGACAGATACATAGATATGTGTACATATATGTAGATGTGCGTATGTGTATATATGTATGTGTGCACATGTATGTGTATATACATATACACCTGCACAGGGCATATATGTCCATAAATCAATATGCATGCATATATGGCTAATGTGTATTTATAGTTATACCCAATAAATGCATATTCATAGGCATGCTAATTTATACATGTGATGTGTATATGTACACATTACATACAATGTAATATATATTACATATACACATGCATGTGTGTATATATACACATATATATTTATATACACATTTATGTAAAGGTGATATTTCATAATAGAACAGGAAGGAATAGTTACCAGTTCTTCTGATACTTACTAGTTGTGTGAACAAGTAACATTAACATGTGTGTTTCTAAGATAACTCCATAGGACACTTATTATATCAAGGATGGATTGCAATCTCTTCATTGGAGGGAATTTGTACATAGGGAGTTCCTTACTCTGACAAAATCACTGGCAGTATAGATAGATGTTCAGGTTATATGTGAATATATTTCTATATATACATAAATATATACATGTATATATATATATATGTATATGTATATATATATGTATATATATATATATGTGTGTGTGTGTATGTGTGTGTGTGTGTGTGTATGTGTGTGTGTATACATAAAAAACTACAAAAAATGCGCACAGTATCTTTGGGGTCTAAACAGCTACTTTTGGTACATTTAGGTATGATTCCTAGTCACACAGTGAATATAGCCCCTGTGCCAGTGTCTATATTTGATGCACTCATTACTTAAAACTTTTCCCCGTGCTTGAGTAATCACAGGGGTGAATCTGAAGCCCTGATGGTACTTTTCCTTTCCTTCAGGCATTGTAAACCCTGATGGAACCCGCTATACTAAGAAAGGCGAATATCGGACAAATCCTGAAGATATCAACCCCAGCTTCAATCCAGATGATGATGGGAGCAGTGGGTCTGCAGGAGAGAGGAGCACTACGGGTGGTTCCACCATCATTCAGACAACATACGATGATGTAACGCCTACTTCCTTCCAAGACCATGAAAGCTTTCCTTCTGTCACCAGTAAGGAGAACACATGTCCATTTTCACTAGTCAGAAAAGTCCCAAGCTTGCTAGTTCCTGGGTAGTTCTTCCAATCTTTCTCAAACCAAGGACCATCATTAGGAGAGACAAAGCATCTTTGTTACAAATACTCTTCCTCCCTCTCTAGCTCCTCCTGCCAAGATATAGCCTTGGTATATACCCAAGGTTTCAAGATTTGGGTTTGTAAGAGGGAAATACAACATGTGGACCAAAAAGGCCATCTCTGAGGAAGTGAGAGTATGGATCACACATGGTGCAGGTGCTAATAGGCAGTATGGCTTTCACAGGACAGAGGGAGGCAAAGAGGATGCCCATTCCCAGGTCACCAAGGAGAGTTGTTAGGTGTTCTGTTCTCTTAATACTCTCTCTTAAGCATTCTAAAATGGATAAAAGAAACTGATGATGATTATGATCGTGATAGCTAACATTTACATAGTGATTCGAGGTTTGCAAAGTGCAATAACCCTAGGAAGCAGTTGCTATTAAATTAAATTTATTATTTATTATTAAGTGAAGAATACTTTGGCTTTCCTAGCTCCCCCTGCTTTCCTGAGTACAGAAGGGGGCAATCAGAATGGGGAAGGATGTTGAAACTGTGACGTGCAAGAACCATCTTAAGGAACTAGAGATATTTCATGTGGAGAAGACCTAGGAGAGACATGATAGATGTCTTCAAGTATTTGAGGGGTCACCTTATGGAAGAGGGATTAAGTTTGTCTGCTTGGCCACAGAGAGCAGAAAAAGGAGCAATGTAAGGAAGTTGGAATGAGGCATATTTATACTCCAAATCAGGGGGACCTTGCTAACCATTAGTACAATCCCAAAGTGGAGATGGCTTCAGAGGTAATGCATTCCTGATCACCAAAGGTCTTAAGGTAGAGACTGGATGACCACTTGTCAGGGGCACTATAGAAGGGATTCGTGTTCAGGTAGAAGTTGGCTCAGCGGACCTCAAAACATGCTTACTTCAAAGGCTCAGATTTCATGATTTGATGAGAAGTAAGATAACCCAAGGTGTCCCTTATGCTCACCAGCATACTGCTTAAGGACACTTAAGTGCCAATAGTGGATTGAGGTCCAAAATACTGGAAAAACCAGGGTGAGCTGAATTTACTGATGACAATCATTTTCTTTAGAAAGGGCCTGCTTCAGCAATACTTTAGTTAACTTGAATGTTAATAACAAATATGATTTGCCAATTGTTTTTGCCTAAATGGAACAGGATGTGGGGAGAGCCTTCTATACTGGTTCGGACTGCTTATATTATTCTCTGGCACTTCAAGCGAGAAAGAGGATAAGCAGATGCCATCTTGGGATTCTGTCTCTTGGTGTTTTGTGTTGGTTGGGAAATGTTTATCTCTTTCTTTTGTCTTCTTTCCTTCTCTTCATTTGGTCATTTGGTTGAGTTATTTTCTTAACAAGGAAATATTTGATCTTAAGAGTATCTTTCTTTGGGAATTGTGTGGTGGGATTTTTCCTCTTTACTCATGCAGTATCTTGCTGAATGACAGTAGTAGGTGGAGTTCTAAAGCTGCAGATTGGGCCAAGTTCTTCAAAGAGGATGGTAGAGACTTAATGGTATATGCATTCTTGTGGCAGGGGCCTTTTCTGCTCTCTGACTCTAACAAACCAGACAGTAGCAATAGCAATGTCTTTGCATTCATATTCATTTTATGAATGGTTTTCTGGGGTTCAAATTTGGTTCTGTTCAGACTCAGGATGTGGTCAGCTCTTCCACTGAGAGAAATTCCCCATGAATGCATCCCACTGCTGATGGCCAAGGTGTTTGAACTCTTCCATGTTTCCCAGTATGTTTTAGTCTTCTTGAAAATTCACACCTCTTCAGTTCCATTCCAAAGGAACTAAGAGTTTTACTGCTGACAAAACAAAAATAGCAAAACAGGCTTTCTAGTGGGCAGTGTACAATTTCCAGGGCTCTCAATTTCTTAACCCATTTGGAGATTTCAAATCATTAAGATCACAGGATTTAGAGATGGAAATGGACCTTAATGATAGTTTCATTTTACATATGAGGAAACTGAGGCATAAAGAGGAGGATATGACTTGTCTAAATCCACATAGATCATGAGTAGGAAATCAGTCAATCCATAAGCATTTATTTAAGTGACACTTTCCTAGGTGCAAAGAAAGATACAAAGACAAAAAAAAAAGAATGTCTCTGCTTTTGTGTTATAAACTCTGGTATCAACACCAGAATTAGAACCTAGGTCCTCTGAATTCAAATCCACTGTGGATTTGAATTCTTCGCTTTCCACCACATGGTCATTATGCTTTGCAAGCTACTTTCTTTGCTAATACTATCAAAATGAGACAATAAGTGACCTCAGTCTCAAACATACAGAGTTAGATTACTGTAAATGTGTTCCCCTCACATACGACAATCCTGGTAAAATATTTACTGTGGGGATTAAGCCAAAATAAAGGCCAAACTAATAACACATGCTTAATGGTAAACATTAGGTCTATGGTTTAGCAAAGGAGAGGCAGCAGAGTTTATTACCCAATCCCAGCCACGTAGGGATGACTTGGCTTCCCAACTCAAACTTTTCTATCCTTGAGAGAAAAGCAGAAGGAAAAAGGGATGAAGGCTGCTTAGAAACAGATGAATAGTTGCAAAAATGAAACATCATAAAATATATCTTTAAAACCTCCCAAATGTGGGTAAGTTTTGGGCAGGATTCCTTGATCTTCCTGTAAACAGGTCAGCTGAATGATGGCTCAGTAGCTGAAGATAAGAAAGCTCAATTACTCAGATTGGGAAGAACCCAGGAGTGACTATCACTGAAATGAATTGGGAGGGAGAAGCTCTGGATTCAAATCTCAGCTCTGCCTCTTATAATCTGTGTCCTTTGGCCAATTCATTTCATTTCTGTATGGGTTTTAGTTTCCTCAGCTGTAATATTAAGGGATTGCACTAAATGAACTCCAAGATCCCTTTAACTCTGACATTTAGCTTTATAGAGGATCCAGCAATGTAACTTAAGAGAGACCCTTTCAAAGCAGAAGAGGTGTGAAGTCAGGTAGTTAGTCAATATAGTTATTAAATGCCTACTATGTGTCTAGTATTGTGCTAAGCTCTGGGGATGCAGAGAAAAACATAAAGCAGACCCTGCCCTTGGGAGCTCGCAAACTAATAGGGTAAAACATGTAAACAACTGTGTGCAAATGACTATATACAGGATAAACTGGAGATAATTAACAGAAGAAAGCCACTAGAATTCAGAAGGGTAGAAAAATCTCTTCACTAGCTCTAGTATAAAACTCTGAATGAAATCCTACTTTTTGTGCCACTGTGGAGATACTCTCAGTGCTTAAGGCTTTTGGAACAATTTTTTTTAGAGCTTGGATAAAAGAAGCATAGTACAGGTAGCTCAGTAGTTCAGTGGATAGAGCACCAGGCTTGGAGTCAGGAAGATCTGAGTTCAAATCTGACCTCAGGAACTTACTGACTATGTGACCCAGGGCAAGTCACATTATCTCTATGCCTCAGTTTCCTTATCTGTATAGCAGGGATAATAATAGTATCTACCTCCCAGGGATGTTGTGAAGGTAAAATTAGAAAACTTATGTAAAATACTTTGCCAATTTTAAAATGCTATAAAAATGCTAGCCATTATTGTCATCATTACAGTCTATGGTTTACAAAGCCCCTTTCTCTTCTTGTTGCATCTGACCCTCACAACAAACCCACAAGATGAGCAGGGCAGGTATGATTGTCCATATTTCCACAGAGGAGGAAACTAAGGTTCAGGGTGGCAAGGTGACTTGCCGAAAACTGAACTGTTAGCAAATGCCAGAATTCAGGTCATCTGATTCCAAATCCAGGGCCCTTTCTACAATACCCTGGCTGCCTCCCCCAGAGTGCTTTTATTTCGTGGTCTTCTTTTGCTTTATTTCTGATGTGCTGTTGGGTGAGGGCCATGGTGACTTGGTAGTGGATAACAGTGGCAGTATGTGATAGATTTGGGAGATGTTAGATTGTTTCAACAATGGAATCTTGAAGGGTATCAAGCATATTCTATTTTTTTTTTTTTTGGCTATCATGTTGGCTCCATGGCATGAATGAACTTGGCAACTGGAGTTTTTCCTGTCTAAATGTTGATCCTTTTTTCTTGGGGGTGTGTATTATTTCTAGTGTCTTCCCTCTGCCTAATCTGGGTTTCTATCCTTTAATTCCTCCAGCTCCCCATTATACCCCCTTCCCAATTGAATTCAATGGCAAACTAAAAATGTGCAAACTCTTCTCTAGCTTGAACACAGATTTCTATAATTTCAGTAACTGCATTCGCAATCCTGAAAGGCCAACCCTTGCTTGTGAAGGGAACATTTTGCCTATGCTTCGTTATAAGCATACTTATTGGTGATAAATGCTCAAGCCACATATAGAAGGTGAAGAAAGTAATACTATGGATGATTGAAGAAGGCTTTCCATGAATTTGATAATCACTTCTAATAGGATGTATATCCCATTAAAACACAATGATAAATATGAGACTAATAATGGTGAATGAACACTAAATAATTTAAAGGATAGCCTAGCTTCAACCTTCTTCACAGCCAATGAGGATACTACTTACATGGGGCATAAAATGCTAGTACCAGTGCTTCCTGGTTCAACTATGGGGTGGAAGAAGAAAGATGCAGATCTATACTTAAGAATTACCTTAGAGAAAAATGAGTTCTAGTGGCCCAAGTCAATGTTGAAGTTAGTGAATCATGGCTGAATTGCTGAATGCTACCATTTCAGCTATGTAACACTACATAAAGGAGCCAAGGAAGCCCAGTTTTGCCATAGATCATTACTTGATCCTATGCTGAATTCTTTGTAAGGGGATGTTAACTTATGTTGATCAATCTCTACTCTAAGATGTTCATTTGGGAGGGAAAATAACTAGGTTTTCTGTTCAGGAAGTTTTGAAGAGGGCCACTGCTGGGGCTTTTCTATGCTCTGTCTTTTCCAGTCTCCACTGTGACAAAGAAGTAGATTTTTTATAGAGAATTAATATTATGTAAAGAAAGAACTCTACTTCCCTAGTGGGATCCTCCTAAATAACTTTTCTGTAACTGATTTATCACCCTTGTGCATTCAGAGACTCATTCCATTCCTGAAACAACAGCTCAGGTGCATCATAATCTAATGCAGGAGTGGTTTGCTCATCCACTAACTTATAGTAAGTATCTTTCAACAGCCAAGCCAGGTAACAAGTCATATATGATTTTATCAGTTGTTCTTATGGAGGTCAGATGAAAGAAAATAGATACGTGTTGTCTATGTCTAAGCTTCCAATTAATGGCTCTTTAACTTTCCTGGTGAGAAAAGGGCCTGGTCCCTTTCTCATATGGCAACCCTCAATTCTTACTAATGGAGATGATTACAAGTTCACCTAGAGTCTTTTTTTTTTTCTTTTCCCTTTTCCCATATATAATGGGAAGGAGGCCATTTTCATTCAGAAGTTTATGGTCACAAGGTTCCTTTGGAATAGAAGATGTTGTATCTGGTTACATCCAGAAGATGTAATTCTGAAACATTTTTTATCTGCTTTCTCCCAAGCAAGTTAGATTCATGAAAAAGGTAGTTTCTCTGTTATGAAACTGGTAGAGAATGGCTTATTCTCCTACACATTTATAAGCAATTTCATTATGAAGTATAGTGACTTGATTTATTAAACCACCTTTATATCTCTATAAATACCCCTACTGTTTAGGAAACACTTAGAGCAGATAAGTTTGGGGATCTTTATCTGAAAGAATGAATGGAATGTGGCAAAATGAGGGAATAAGAATAACTTAGCTTAGTCAATTTCATCAAAGGAAGTGTCATCTGTCAGGGTGTATTATCACTCTATTAGCAGAGAAGTAGCAAGAGAGGGATGGATGAGGTGTAAAAAGCATGATGCATGAAAAAAAATTTTGCAAAGATTGTCTTTTAGGGCAAAATGTGCACTGAAAACTTGCTTTCTGGTTTGCTCTTTCTTGGGCCTTTCTTGGGTTTCCTTGGTAATGGAAATGAATAACCTAAATAATTAACCTTTGGGATTTTAAGGACTTTATGACTGCTTTAGCTTTTCTATTGGGTTTTGGTCTTATTCTGTCTTCTGATGGTCTGGTTCTTTGGGGTCAACAAGCTATCAAAATGGTTTCAAAGAAAGACAGCTCCAGTATACTCGTTAATTGATGATGAAGGATCCTTCCTTCTGGTCTTGTCAATGGGCTAGTCATGCCATTAACCTTTGCTTAGCATTCCTTCTTGGTGTTCTTCTCCCTGAAATAAGAATTCTAATGGCTCACTGTACAATCACAGTGCTTACTTAAAAATGAGAATTTTTAAGAGAGAATTTTGACTCTGTTTTTTCATCATCTTCTATTTCTAACCATCTTTGTCTACCTGAAATTCTGTGTTTGGGTTATCTGGCTGCAAATGTTAGCTATATCTTGATATCTAGAATAATGTTACTGGATATTAGTAGATGACATTGGATGGTTTTAAATCCAATGATGGTCATGCAAAATAATATATAGGTTTCTGGGCTTTCTTTTCTCTTCTCTACCATCTATAAAAAGTGTAAATGGTCATCTTGAATCATTAAAGAAGAAAAGTCTGAACACAAAAAAAGCTGTTCTCTAGAAAGTAGCAAGTAATGATTTCACCATTGATTCAACCACCCTCAGAACAGCTTTGACTAGCACTAGTGGTCCAATCCAGGAGACAACAGCAATGAAACAAGAAGATTCTGACTGGTTCTGGCCTTCAAAATCTGAGAGATAGCCACAGAACCACAAGGACGGCTGGGGAGGGGCTCAGAAGATCTCTCTTCATAGACTTTCTTACAAGCCTCCATTGATTCTCTTTGGTTTTTGGTGATGTTGGCAAAGGCTTTTTTCCTTCTGGGTCTCAAGGGACTCTAAAAGGCTGAAGAAAAGATCACCAAATCACTGACAGGGAGCAGGAGGTGTCCTGAAGAGAATTTTATAATATTACTAAGCAGAGTTAGACTCTGTCTTCTATCTTTTAAAGAATTAATATAGTATGAAAAGAGGCCCTAATAGAAAGTCATTGTGCAGGCTGATAAAAGAGAAATCTTTCTTGATAACAGATGTGATTTTTAAAGTTGTCTTTACTTTTATAAGGCATCCTTTGTAATACCATGAGACATTAGACTAATAGATTGTTCATTTTTCCTTTAAGACATCATATTTTTGGAAATTTGGGGGTGGGGTGGGGTGCGGTGGGGAATCCTTAATCCCTAAGCAATCTGTTGCAAACTTGACAAAAAAAAGAACTGAGAAAAATCTATCTCAACCAATAGATAATAAATATAATTATCTTCACAATGAGCCTCCATATGTATGGACAGGCTGATGAGATCAGAGCTGCAACTACAAAGTTGCTTTCATATTACATGATGATTTTTAATAGTAGAAGCATCTCACAAGGTGTCATGTTAGGTATTGCATGATGTTTCTTCCCCAAAGAAATATATACAGAGAAAGTTACCTATCAGTCACAGATCTAATATGTGCTTTTAATTTATACATTTGGAACAACAATTCTTGAAACTTTCCCCAATTTCATTGGAAATGTTCTTGTTTGGTTCTAAAAATATTGCTTTCTCTGACTTTCGGGTGGCCAATATTTGCAAGTGAATCATAAGGGGAAATAATAATATGAGGTTCTAACATGAATGAAAAAAAAACCCAGATATATATACCTATGTATTCAAAGCCAGAACACTTTCTAGAAAACAGCTTGTAGCCCATGTATGGAACTCATTCCTAGTGAAGGGGATTATTCCAAAAGACATATGGAGGTCATTTGGAAGATTGAATCTTTTCTTTCTATGAGTTTCTATCCAAGAGGAATAAAGAAGAAATTGTGTCTCCCCCTCAACCCACAATGGATTAGAACCACCACTGATACCAAATACTGAATGATAGAATCTAAATAAGCCTCTGTCACACTATGAATGCTAACTACACATTCTTTTACTCCATTCTGAGTTCTATATGAACTTTTTGATTTTTGTGGGTCTCCATGAGACTCACCCTAATCAAAGTGGGGCATGTTTATTTCGTATAGGAATATATGTTGTGTATATACATATACATATATGTGTATATCTATAACTGAATCTATATAACTATAAGTATGTATCTATATATGTTTCTCTACATATTTATGTCCATATGTACATCCATCCATCCATCCATCCATCCATCCATCCATCCATCCATCCATCTATCTATCTATCTATCTATCTATCTATCTATCTATCTATCTATCCATCCATCCATCTATCCATCCATCCATCCATCCATCCATCCATCTATCTAATATTTCCATCTCTATCTGAAATCAGCATGCCACACTTGATTAGGACAAGTGCAATGTTTTTGACCAATTTACTACCTGGCTCTTTGAACTCCTTTGCTTGGTGACTATCCAGATGAACACTCATAGGAAGAGAAAGAGTTTGCAGCATTGCCAATCATTTTGTGTCCTATAAAGAGATGTCGGCTCATGATACTCCATGAATTGATGATATATGTTTGGAGTTATAGAATCTTGGAAGTTGGCTTAGAAAATTGATAGGCACACATGAAACTCTTCTATTAATTTCTCAATGCTTTGGCATGAATAGGCTTTGTTTGCTCTAAGCAGTAAGAAATCTGTTCCAATATACCAGTTTTAACTGTTATTTTCTTCCTTGACTTCTTTGGAATATTTGTAGTCTGACTTTTTTTTTTCATTTTGATTTCTGGTTACTTTCCAGTACGCTATGCTTAGTTACAAAGTTGTTTAAATTCATTTAGGGACCAGAATTTGGGAATCTTGGGTCATGCGTCTGGACCTACTACTTTCTTCTTGAGATAATCAGGCAATTGATTAACTCATCTGTGCTTGACTTCCCTCTTCTGTCAAATGGGGTTGCCTAGGTTTTTGCTCAGTCAATAACTACAAGTCATCACGACAGGTATGGACTCAGCTATCATCTCAGCAGACCTGGAACCAAATGAGGAAAGCGAAGAAGAAAGAGAAAAATCTCCCAGTTATTCTGGATCAGGCATTGATGATGATGAAGATTTTATCAGTACCAGTAAGAATAATGATTAATTACAGTAGAATCATTTTGTGGCAATAAAACTAGAGGCACCCAATGGGGCCAGCCTTTGGGAAAGCGTGAATATGATCCAAGACTGCAGTTTGGCAACACAATCCTTCTTATAAGTTAGTGAATCTATAGAGCAAGAATTAGCATCATTTTGATAACAACCAAAATTTATTTTTTCAAAAAAATGGAAAAAAAGGATCCTCACAATTTTAAGGAATTAGTTTGTGATTACTGATTGCCTTCTCAATATTGTAGTAAACTTTCCTTAACTCTCCTTAATCTTGGTTCCTATGTCAAAAACTTAGTAAGAATCCCCCCCCACTGACCCCCTAATACTCTTTGATATCCTTGAGAGTAAAAGGAATTAGTTCTTATAAATGTGGTTTATAACCTTCAAAGTGTCTTTGTTTTAGGTTAATTGGTAATGGTTAAAAGTTCCAAAGTATTTTTTAACATGTAAAATGGAAATGATAACATTTTGTATTTGTTGGAGGGATTTATTGGGTTAAAAAAACAGCGCTAAAAAGGATTGTGAAGCATTTGTGGGTAGCCCTCTCCCAAAATGCACTGATATTGATCATATCTCGATTTTCACTAACGTATATTTTGTATCTTGATGCTGATGTTTTGGGGGGAAACATTACTATGTTTGGTAGATGCTTAACTGTGTGGTGAGCTGGTGTGGTGGTGGTTTTCTCATAGACCTTTTCTATTGGCTCTTTTCATTAGCTCTGGTTGGCTTAACCTTGGTTGTTTTGCATATTGTCAGAAGATTGTGTGTGTTTGGCAAACAAAACATAATTTGGACCTATTAATTATATGGGCTATTAAAGATAGAGTTTCTCTTGTGTCGTTATCAGTGGGGAAGATCTTACTCTTGGTGTTTCTTGCCAACACTATTGTTGATTCATTCAAACGATCATTTCAAATACCCGTTTTACTTTTCTGTCACAGCTGGTACAGCTATCTGAGCACAGAAACACGGGATACTTGCCACTGCTCTAGATTCCTGGTCCTTTTGGCTATGGCATTGTGTGGGGTACTCTAGGCTGCATGGATTAAAAAGGCCATGGCATCTTTTGGTCAGCCTTGGTGAAGGGCTGTTGTGCTTGCTGCTATTGCTGCTTTTGTCAGAGTACTTGGGATGCTTTTCTATGAAGATCTCATGTCCTGAAGACCCAGGCGATGAGACAAGATGGCAAGAACGTTGAGATCCTTGGCAATGCTACTGAATCAAACCAAAGGCACTCTGCTTTTCTTCCTCCTCTCTTCCAACTCCAACCAGATGTATATGTTTATACATCTACTGGCTTATCATGTGTACAAAATAAAGAGAAAATTTAATTCAAGTCTGTCAGGGGAGGCTCGGCAAGTGGTTTTTTCATAATTTCTTCAACCATCATTGTGACAGCTTCAGCTTCAACACGTGCTACAAGTCATGAAACGATCCAAGACTGGCAACCCTGGGCTCATGGTCACCCAAATCCTGAAGAACAACCTCAAACAACAGCAAAAGTGACTGGTAATGGTTTGTACATATTTAATTAAATGTCCTTAACTCAGAGATGCTAATGCAGCTGAAGAGCCCTGAAGGAGAGAATAGGAAGTTGGGATACTCTTTAGTCAAATGGCCCTTGTGAATTTCACAGCTCTCTTTGTAACAATCATTGAGATATTTTAGTAGCCATAAAACCTATAATCCTCAAATTTAATGAGCTTTTCCAATACAAATGACTGAGTTAGAATGGCTTACTCTGTAGTCCTTTAACAATAAGGGTTATGTTTGTGTATCTTCATTAAACCTTCCTCCGATGCTTCATTTTGGGCATGGATGTGACCCTGAATTCCTAAAGCCTATGTCAATGGAGGTAAAGATTTGTCAGGTTCACCCAAGTGGAAAATGCTTTGACTGTGGAACCCATCTGAGGACCAGCTCAGCCAGGATTGGAGAGGCTTATCACTAGTTTGGCCTCAAGGTGATGAATTTTTTTGACTTAGCAACTAACAAGTGGCCTCTATTAAGGGACAGAGGAGATGTGATATGTACCAGGAGAAGGGGTATGTGGGCTAGGAGTGGGGCACATTGATGAATCACGGTTCCCTGAATATTGAAATATATTTGCCTAACAGGTAGTTAGTAAACTATTTCAGGCACCATTTCCCCTGTGACATATTGGCAGTAGTCCATGGAAATTCATTTGAGATAAATTCATTTGGGACAAATTTACTTCCTCCTGAAAGAAGAAATTCCAAAGTGTCTTCTCTAAGAGAGTAACTATAATGGGTGAACAAGGGTACAGTCTATTGCAAGAAAATGATGTCAAGCATTTGGCCAACCAAGAGTATATTTATAATCACCATCACAGCTATTGTGGACATGAACAGAAGTGATGATAGGGCTCATGGTGAAAATTCAACCCAAGAATCACAGCCTTCTCTTGTTCCTGGTGAGAAACATGAAGATTATGATGGACATTCTTCAAGTACAAGTAAGGCGGCTAACTTTCAACACTTTTGATTTAAAGATGAACTAGTAGAAAGATCACCAATCAACTTAAGTGGGCATGTAACAGAAGGAAATTTTGGAGGAGTAAGTCCACCAAGTAATTTCCTTCCATGCACTAATTTAGACTGGGAATGCTATTGATTAAAGATTTTATTGTTAGAATTTTTTAAAGTGTCATCTTGTTGGGTTGCATAAATGTCTAAAATGTCCAAGATGGTGATCTGGATATGGTTTTGTATTTAAAGTTTCTCCTGCAGGTTTTTGTTTTGTTTTGTTTTTTGCTAGGCAATAGGTTAAGTGACTTGCCCAGAGTCATACAGCTAGGGAACGTCAAGTGTCTGAGGTTGGATTTGAACTCAGGTCCTCCTGACTCCAGGGCCTGTGCTCTATCCACTGCACCACCTAGCTGCCCCCTGTAGATTTTTTTTGATGGAATTCTTGTCTTTAATATCTTTATTAGTCTTAGACAAATGACACTGATATTCTTTGGAAAGAAAGCTTGATGAATATCCCTTTCTTTTGCTATCCTCATTTCCAGCAAAGGCTTTTGTCTCCATAACTGGGCATGTAACAGAAGGAAATTTTGGAGGAGTAAGTCCACCAAATAATTTCCTTCCATGCACTAATTTAGACTGGGAATGCTATTTAATTAAAGACTTTATTGTTAGAATTTTTTTAAAGTGTCATCTCTAGCATCTGTCCTTGGTACAACTCTGGTGGCATAAACAAAAGTGCCTTCATGGTATATGGTGGGGGGATGGTGGCTATCTAATGCTCTCACTATTGATTCAACCATCATTCTCACAGCCTTGGACATACCTAGCAATACAACCCAAGAAACTGCAGTCCAACAGCAAGGGTGGGAATGGTTTTTGAATCATCCTCAGCCACCAAATGAAGATGCTGAGCCAACAGCAGAGACAACGGGTAATGGATTATGGGTACCTTTATGAAGTCATCTTGATTAAAAGCTTCCCTTATTGATTGTCCTTCATCCAGGGCCATCTCTAGTCATCTTGATCTATATCTTGTCACTGGACCCAGAGGGCTCTGAAGGAGAAAGTGAGGCTGGTGATTTTGTACAGTCCTCTCTCACTTAAATCCAACTCACTTGCAAGTCATGGCATCATCTTCCTGATGTCATGGTCCTCTTTGAGAATGAAGGACAAACAACAACCCTTATTGATAATGCAATAAGGACTGATCAAAGGCCAGTCTTTAAGGAGGTGCCACAAGACATAAGGATTACATTAATATGAATGATGGCATCAGGATTAGATTGTGTGAACGATGGCAGTTTACAGGCTAAGGCCTCAAACAGCTGTCACACATGAATAGCAGTAAGACACGTGGCAAGAGCCTGTTGGGTTTCTCTAAAATACAAAAAGCACAGGGGTTAGAGGATCAATCCTTTTGGAAGTCAAGTATCCCTAATGTCATATACTGGCTGTGTGACCATGGGCAAGTCACTTAACCTTTCTATGCCCTGGGCAATGCTCTAAAACAATGACAAAGAGTTGCTGATCTATGTCAATGAAAGACGTTTCCATATATTAAAAAAAAATTGCAAGTCTGTTTCTCCCTCTCAAGAGAAAGAAAGAAAACAGAGCAGAGGAGAGAGGAAGAGGGAAGAAAGGGGGGGGAGGGGGCTAATTTTTCATCAAACATTCTGAATATCAGAGGACTGATTACCAACTGGACTGGATCACTTCAGTGGGAGTTCATCAGATACTAAGTCAATTAGCTCTGAACTCTCATGAGTTAGTTTATTTTTTTGGAGAGAGAGAGAGAAGGAGGGAGAGGAAAGGAAGGAAAAGAAATAAAAAGAAAGATTAAGAGAGAAAGAAAACTAAGATTTCAGCACAAAGTCAGTATGGTAGTGTTTAATAAAAACAAAACAAACAAACAAAAAAAACCAACCCAGTAGTCTTAGTATCAAGTCACTTTAACTCCCTAATCCTCAGTTTTCCTACCTGAAAAAAAATGGAGGTGAGAGAATAGATTGGATGCTTTCTAAGGAGACTTCCATCTCTAGCATTCTGTGATTCCAATATTATTCTTGTTTGTCAATGTGCCAGGGGTAGATAAACCCAGGGCAGCCCCCTGTGAGACTCCATCCTACTCTCATTCTTATTTTGAGACTTGAGGAAATTTGTGAAAGGGGTTTGTGTTTCAAACTTTCACCATGTTTGATGACTCCATATGCTTCTGTGAAGACTGTGGAGACATATGAGGATTAGTTAAGGGCACTATGTATCTTGTATAAAGAAATAGAGCCTGAAGTTTAGGACAAGATATCTTTCTTTAGAAATATTGGTTTCCATGATGCCTTTTGGCCCTTTGGTCATGTCCATTGTTCACTTCTTGACTTCATCTTGAACTTTAGATATCTCTCTTGGGTGGAGATAATACCCCTTCTATCCTCTTGGACTGTGGTTACTGGGAATAAGATCTCCGCATCATGATCATGGTGGCTTCTTTAACTTTGCTTGGCCATCTTTCTATGTAAAAGAAAGATGATAATGTTTCCTGACATGTGAAGAACTCAGGAATTCTTCATTTGCTTCAGTGACATTGCAGAGCCTTCCTGTTTGTATGGTTTGCAATATGGATTCTTGTGCAAAGAGCTGGCCTTTTCTTTCCTTCACCTGCATTTTGCCTTCTGAATACATAACATTCTTGGCAAAATGGCGCGTTTGGTGCCTGCATACTCTTAGTGTGGTTGAAGTGGCAGAGCAGTTTTCAATAACTTTCTAACCTCTGTTTTCCTTGGCTCCTGATGGATTAGGGAAATGCTGGGTAGACTGGATTTTACAAACACAAAATGGGTATCTTTCTTGCTCAGGTGTCCTTCTGCAAACAATCTAGATGTCAGAAGCAATGCCTTTTGACAGTTGCTCTTTAGATCTCAGAGATGACCAGTCGTTCATTCATGCTCATCACATCTAGAAGCTTTCTAAACCTTTGCCAATTCCCTTCTTTGAGACACAGAACAACATTCACTTCATGGTGATGCTGTGACATCTCAGAATACAAACGCATGCCTTAGGCTCTCCGTTTAAAATACTTGAGCAATATGGCATGGGAGAATATTTATCATCTTTGACCTGCTGTGGTATCTCTCTTTACTCCATTTGTTGGACTGTAGTGCAAATGATTCATAAACTGATGACAAAGAAAATGAGCATGAATAAACAAAAGCTCCCCAAATGACATCTGGCATCAAACAGAATCCAACCTTCCTCTTGTTTACCATCTCTCCCTGCCTTACCACCATCTATACCAAGTATAGATGATACTATTATGAAGCATAAGGAAAATTCTAAGAATATGATGCTTGGCTCATTGTCAGCTGTTAACTTTTTTTCTAAAACTATTGATTTAACAACATCATTGTTATTATCTGCAGCCCAGGACACATATTCCAGGCAGGAAACAACATCCCAGAGGCAAGATGATTCCTGGATAGGCTACCTTGATCCAATTTCCCATCCAGTGGAACACTACAATCCAACAGGAAGGAACATGGGTAATGAATGACTCCCAAGCAGTTTTTGGTAGCGTACCCAAAGACACCATTTGGTCTCACTATTTGTACTCATGTACTAGGCCTTAGTTATTGCTTCTTTTGTTGGTTTTTTTAAATGTTATTTTTTTATTAAGTCAGCAAGAATTTCTTTTAAATACTAATTTCAGCATTGGTGCAGGGGAGCCATGAGCTGAGGGACTGGAGGAGAGTTACCTTTCTGGGATGAAAAAAAAAAGAGAGGAGTTAGTCCTAACCCTCTAACTTATTTTTTTTAAATTTATGTGTCCTAGGCACATATAATTAAATGGAGAAACATCCTATTGTAGGATCAAAAAAAAAAAACACATAAAGGCAAGGAAATGAGAAATGGGCATTAGTCAATTGCACTAAAAGATCAGATTTTAGTTAGTAATCATTAAGGGCTCAGAAAGGGGTTTCAATGTGAGAATTTCTCATCTTGGTATTTAGAACCATAACATGGGATTTTTTGAGTCTGGGACTAGTATATAAAATGTGCTTGGGGCAAGAGGAAACTCAGCCCTGGAAGGGGGATGAGAGACCCCTGAGTACCAGCTCGAGAAGAACTCATGGAGACAGGAAGCAGCTCAGCTTGACATCTGGTAGCTTACTATTTCACTAATTATTATTGCTCAATGATTGCTAAATTCTCTAGTTCTACACTGCAGAAGGATTGTAAACAATCCTATTGCAGTCTGCAGTCAGCACCATGGGACAAAGCTCCAGTTCCCTCACCCTCTTTTTATTTATTGCTCCGCCTCTCATTTGAAATTGACATTTCAAAAGGATAAATGCTCTGATTTGGGCACCTGTCATGCAAAATATGGCTCTAGTTTTCTTCAATACGTTTCCGTCTTGCATCTCACAAACAATGCAAATGCAAGATACAAGAACAGACTTGTTTTTCTTTACAAGAACATAAGATAATGATGACACTCTTACCTATTTTTGTAATCATAATTAATTCTCACCTCATGACAGATGGAAAACATACTGAAACATCTACCCATGATCCAATGGGAGGTGGTACCTCTTTTTTCTCAGATTTTAATGAGGAACTACCCCTCAGTCCACCTTCTACCCCTATGAGTACTGTGACATCCGGAGTTACTGAAGTTATCTTTCCAGGAGGTTTTGATTCCAGAAATGAAAAATTCCAAACAGGTAATTAGGCCATAACTAACAATATGGGGATGAAAACTGTCAATTTGCAGCGAGCATGTTACAAATTGACAAGAGCTCTGTATCCCAATATTGAGGAAGAAATCATAATTTTTGAAGGCAGATATGATGTATACATACATACATACATACACACATATACATACATACTTACATACACACATACACATACACACACACAGAGTGTTGGAATACACTCCAAGATGTATAGTCGTATTGAGTATTGGTGGGTTCTAAATCTTTTCTATCCTCGAGCTTTTAATTGAACCCCCAACTCCCACATAGATGACAATTTCCACTTCATTGAGAAGACTGAAGTCACCTGATAGGGCTCCTGCAACTAGTTTTCATTTCTCCACACTTCTCGGTATCACTACCCACTCTTCATGCCTGTCTTTGGAAGAAATTATTTATGCTTAATTTTATACCTGTACTTTCTATCCCATTCCCTCTCACCTTCTGGATCTTGTTGCTACAAATCCCCTTTATCCCATGAATCTTCAGTCACACTCTTTCCACTAGTTCCTTCCCATTTTTCTACTGATATGTTCAAGTCTCTTCAATCCTAAGAAAAATGATTTCCCTTGACTTCTGTCCATCTCTCTTCTCTCTTCCCTGCCAGACTTCTCTGTAAAGATGTCAACAACTGGGCTTAGAATCTGGAAGACCCAAGTTCCTCAGATACTAGATGTGTGACCCTGGGCAAGTCACTTAACCTCTGTCTGCCTCAGTTTCCTCATCTGTAAAATGGGGATAATAATAGCACCTACCTCCCAGGGCTATTGTGAGGATAAAATGAAAGGAAATTTATGAAGTGTTTTGAAAGCCTTAAAATTCTAGATATTATTACCATAAATAATAATATAATAATAAAGTAAGGCATACCTACACAGCATAAAAATGGAAACTTTTTTTTTCTTTTAGCTATTAAGTAATTTCCCATTTGGTCCTTCCAATCCTTATACATCCTACTATTACTAGCAAATGTAGACCAGAGAAAGCATGCTATCTCTACCTGCCAGGTACTAGGATAATGGGGAAATTAGATTTGGCATGACAGAATCTGCATTCAGATCCCAACTCTGAGACTCACAAGCTATATGAATTCATGCAAGGCACTGTACCTCTCTTGACCTTACTTTCCTCATCTAAAAAAATCAGAGGGCAACACTAGAAGATTCCTTAAGATCCTAGTCAGTTCTATAATTATGATCCTCCTATTGACTTTGTCTTTTGTAAGAGAAAGAGAGTTGCCCAGTGGATATAATCAATGTATCAGTGGATGAGAGAACCTGGATTTAAATTCCAAGTCTGTGAGATTTCATCTCTGGGTTTTTTTTTTAATCTGTAAAATTCAGGGATTAGATTAAATGACCTCTTAAATTCCTTACAGTTCTAAATCCTCCAATAGTAAGGCTTCTGTTTAGATTGTGGTCTCTGATAAGACTTGTCTGTAGAAATTTACCTTTCTAGGCAGGTTTCCTTCTGGGACCTAGACCTCCCTTTGGTAGGGCATTCTTTCTTGATTTTTGGTTTTCGAGTTAGGGTTAATTGAGCTCTTGCTTGGAGCCACATTTAATGGGTTATGAGGGAGATCTTGAGTTTTTCCTTCAAGTCTTAAGTAAATGACTTCAATGCAGACACTTGTAGGTAGCCTCAATGATTGTATTTAAAGCAATTTGGAAATGACTAACTTCTAAATTCAGAAGAGGTGATAACTTTATAACTAGTCTGAGCTGTGAGTCAAAGAATCTCAGAGGTAGCCAGGGTCTCAGAGACCAAAGAGGCCAAATGACACCACCCATATGATTTAGTTCAAGTACTTAACTTCTCTGGCCTTCAGTTTCTTCATCTGTAAAATGAGGAGGTGAGACCATATGACCTCTGAGGCCGCATTGAACTCTAAAATGATGATCCAATAATCCCATGGTCTCTCTTTAATATCTCTGACAAATGATTCTCCAGCCTTCCCTGGAAGGCTTCTGTCTGAAAATCCTCCCTTGTATCAACCTGAAATCCGTCTTCCTATCACTTCTACACATCTGTCCCACTTCTGCCTTTTTTTGGTAAGCAGATCTGATCCATCTTCCACAGAATAGCTTTTCAAATTATTGAAGACATTTATCATGCCTTCCTCTCTAGTTCCTCTCCCTCCTAACTATTGCCAGTTTCTTAAAATGACCTTCATACAACCAATGTCGATGTTGATGGAATTTGTGGACTGACCTTGCTTTCCTTCAAGACCCACTCTATGCTTTCCATATGAAATTTATTGTGGTGTTCTCTTAGTTACTGTTAGATTTTGCACCAGGCTATTGTTGTTTTTGAAGTCTTGGTGAATCTCATTTCTCTGGGTGCACCTACGATAATTTACAAGGTCCTATTTCTTTCACAAGCTACTGGATGCCTTTTATACCCATGTTTAGAACTGTCAGAAAAAGTTGTATAAAGGGATAATCAATATATGTATGTAGAAAAACAAAAATAGATCAGAGCCACAAAAGATTTGGAAATAAATGTTCAGGAAACAGATTGTTAATGCTTAATTAACCCCTCCAGATACAGCACCTCACCACTCAACCGCAGATCCCAAGGAAGGGTGGCTAGAAGACAAAGGCACCACACATTATCCTCCGATGGCCACTGGTAAGGATAACGGCCTCCAATCCCTCTTCCCGTCTCAGCAGCCAGTCTTCCTGCTTCAGCTCTTGTTCAGGTTTGCTTGTTGTTGGGTGATGGTAGAGGAATGAAGCAATCTGGCAGCCTTACTGCTGGGAGAGGCATTCAGTTTTGCATGTTGTTGGCTTGAATTTGGTGGATGCTTCTGCTGTCTACTTTGCTTTTAGTGGATTAGGATTGTTTTTCTGTCATATTCTGTATACTCTAGAATCAATGACTTTGTGTGAATAATCTGGGAATATTCCAATGCATGTCTTAATTCTCTAAGGACTGGCTTCTCTGTGAAGAAAGTGGATTTTGAAAATGGTTTTCAAGTATTTTCACCTGCTTACTCCCATTTTCTTTGGGGTCTAGACCTGTGATTTCATCTGTGTAGAGAACTCTTGGTGTGGCTTCCAGCAATGTAGATTTGTATCTCAGGGTTTTAGAGTGTTGCCTGGGGCATACTGAAACATTAAGGGACCTGCCTACCATTATTCATCCAAAGCTATTTGAGGAGGACCTAACCTCAGGTCTTTCTGACCCCAAGGCCAGTCTCTATCCATAATAACTGTCAATCACCCTTATGTGCTAGATATAATTCCTCAAAAAAAATTAGAAATTCCTCAAATGGAGAAGAGGCAGGTATTGATGCCTTTTTTGAAGGGAAGGTAATAGATAATCAACCCAGTGTCCAAGGGAGGAAGATCACCAGGTGTTATTATTTGGTGACTAAAAGTCAAGGTCATGGAAATGAACAAAATCCAAGGAAAGTAAATCACCCAACATTATCTACCATCAAACTTCTGTGTAGAGCCAAACTTGCCTCATTGTCATTTTGCAGTTATAGACACAGTCCAAGAACCCCACCCAAACTCATTCAGAATTCACTGACAGAACGATGAAAAAAAAAATCATTCAATTCAATAAACATTTATTGAGAAATCCAATCCAACAAACATTCATTAAATACCTACTGTGTGCCAGGGAGTCAACTAGGCAAACAGACCTTTTGTAAATACTTATTTTATGTCAAGCACTACGATAAGTTCTGGGAATACAAAGAAAGGCAAAAAATATCCCCCCCTTCACCTCGATGAACTTACATTCAAATAGGGGAAACCAGCATGAAAATAAGTAAATATATACAAGGTGTATACAGAGTAGATGGGAGGTAATCCCCCAAAGGTACTGTGGGGGCGGGGACTGGGAAAGTTCTCATGTAAAAGGTGGGATTTCAACCGAGTCTGGCAGGAAGCCAGGCACCATGCTGAATACTGAGAATACAAGGACAAAGGAAAAACCTTTCCTTCCCTTCCTTCCTCAAGCAGCTTAAATCCTACTGAAGGTTAGGGGGAAGAGGGAGATATTACATTTTCACAAATAAATCCATGGATGATTATTTGAGGAAGGAATGTGTACTGACACAGAGGGGATGAGGAAAGGCTTACTCTTAAAAGAAGTGATGTGTGAACTGATTTTTGAATGATACCAAGATGCCAAGGTGAGCAGGGAGTGCATTCTAGGCATGGTGGATAGTCTATGGAAAGACACAGGAGCCTGGAAATGTAATGCCAAGTTTGGGAAATAGCAGTCAGCCAAATTATCTGGAACACAGAATGGGTGAAGGGGAGTAATATTTAATAAATCAGGAAACACACCCTGCGCCAAGGAGTTTATGTTCTACTTGAATCCAAAGCTAGTTTAGAGAGTCATTCATATGGAATGCCTTTCCTTTCAGCCCCTGCGCTAATGCAGGTAAAATGATGGTCATGTCTTATGAATGAGAGCCTTCATTTTGGGTTTCATTTCAGGAACATTTTTCAGGTTTCTAAGGTCATCCCCTTAAGATAAGGGAAAATCCAGACCAAAGCCACTTTTACAATTTGAATAATTGGCATTAACTTTCTTGTTAGGCCATGTGTACCTATTCTGTCTAGAAATTTCGAGTAAATTTCAATAGAATGTAAGCTTCTTACGGGCAGGGACTGTTTTCCTTTTTGTCTTTGTATCTCCAGTACCTCGAAGAGTTCCTGGCATATAGTAGGAAGACAGAAGAGCAAGAAGAGAGAGAAGAGAGGAGAGGGAAAGGGGAGAAGAGTGGGAGCAGAAGACAGGAGTGTTATTGAATTTTTTCAAATTTCATATGCCTTGTGGCTTAGGATATTGATGATGATATAATAATAATAATGACTAGCATTTATATAGCACTTTAAGGTTTGAAGAGCTTTCCAAATATTACCTTATTATCTTTATAGCAAACCTGGGAGGTAGGAGCTATTGTTATCCATATATTATGGATAAGGAAACTGAGGCAAACAGAAGTTAAATGACTTGTCCAGGGTTGCACAGGTAGTAAGGACCAGTACCTTTCACAGAGAAGCACAAAGAAATTGGTCTCAGACTCTCAAAGCTATTTCAGATATAGTCTGCGATCCTAACCTGAAATGGATATACACAGATAAGGGTCTTGTCTTTGATCCTGTGAATGGTGTCTTCATGTAAGCCCAGAGAGTCCACATCCAGGGCTAAGATCTGAAACATAAGGAAAGAGCCAACTGGCAACTGCTTGATGGAATGGGGCTGGAGGCGGTGGAGGGAGGTGCCTGAACCACGCGTTTCTGTGAATTAAATCCACCTGGAGTTCCCATAAGCTGGTTCCTCTAGCTGGTCCTCTTCCTCTGCTGTGGTTATCTGGCATGTATGACTGCCATGGGAGTTTGTATCCATTACAATCACGTTTCCTGAATAGCAGCAAAGCCTTCTTGACTGTTGGCAGCAACTGTGTTTCACAATACTATGGGTTCCTTTCCTGTTTTCCTTGGTGGTTGGTTTTCCTGTGTGTTTTCTGTGACCAGGGCCAGGGCCAATTCAGGGCAGATGATATGACTTGGGGGGTGGGGGTGAGGGTACAACTCACTCTAAAACTTTTCAATGTTGAAAAATTAAGTGGTCACTTTGGGGAAATGAGAGGTCTAATGCACACCCAAAGTTTCCAATTGACTCTGGATTCCTTATCCTAGCAGAACACAATCACCCTCAGAGCACCTCCAGACCGCATACAGGTTTGGAAGACGGCCACAAGCATTCCCCAGCTCCTTCTCCAACGTCTCTCAGTAAGGATGGCAACTTCTAATGGCTTCACTCAGTAAATTCATTATGTTGGCTTCAGCTATTGATCAGTAGAAAGCATGAGTACTGGCTGTGGTGGATGGAGGAGCCAGCATAATCAGCTGGCCCCCATATTGCTATGGGAGCTGGAGGTCTTTAGTGATGGAGGTGCTTCTGGTGATGGTTCTCTGCTTTTTCTGCTTATTGTCTTCTTGATCAAATATTTCTCTTAAATGCAAGGGTTGATTCCCCCCTCCCCCTTAAACTCTCACATCAATGATGTAATTTTTGCCATAGTAAATGATTTATCCCTCTTTCAGAATGATCTCAAAGTCAG